GCCGCGGCGGCGGGGCGGCCCGCGCGCTTTGATGTGCGGGGCGGCGCTTTGAAGTTGGCAGGCCGGCTATTTCGGGGCGCGCTCCGGGCGGGTGCGGAGGGGAGCGGCGGGCTCGGCGCCCGGCGCTCCGGGGGGCTTGGCTGGGCGGCCCAGCACCGGAACCCCCTACCCGGCGTCGGGGTGGCCGGGCCGCGGGGAGACTCCTCCAGGTGGGGGCGGGGGCGGAGAGCCGGCCGAGCCCTGCGGGGTCGCGTAGCTGTCTGCGGACCGAGTCGGGGTGTGCGTGCGCGGGAGCGCCTGGGAGGGTGGGATGTGAGGGTGGCGTCGCCCCCGCTTCTCCCCCGCCCGAACTCCCCTCTCACTTCCCTCCCTTCTGCTCTCCTCGCAGCCGGGAGTCCGCGTTTAGGGCCCCGGAGCGCCGGCGAAGGCGCAGGCTGCGCGCAGGACCGGCCCGAGCCTCGGGCGCCCGCGTCCCCTGCGTTCCCCTCCTGCCGGGACTCCGGTTTCCCCGGTGCCCCGGCCCTTTCCGCGAGGAGGCAGAGACTCTGCTAGTCGCCATTTCGGGACCAGGCAGCTGCTGTCTGCGCCTCCGTGGGCGCCGCTGCGAGCTGAGCTGCCGAGTGGGACCCCTGCCCGGACTCGGGGCTCTGCGTGCGCGGTCTTGGGGCTTCGACCCCACGCTGTATCCGCCGGGGCTCTGGAGGCGTTCGGTCGGATTTGGACCGGGGACTGGGCCAGAGGGGCTCAGAGGTGATGTGAGCCCGGCCTTGGAGGCCTTCGCCTTCCAGGTAACGGGGCCGCCCCGCCTCCCTTTGCCGGGTGCTCGGCGCTCCCCCAGCTTCGCCGCTCGCGGGCCTCGTTGCTCAGCCCGGCAGCCGGAGGAACCGGGAAGGGCGGCATGCGCTCAACCCCGGCCCGCCCCTGCCCTCCTTAGATGGATACTTCAGTGTTACGGAGAGTGGCTTGTTTATTGGTTAGATAAGACTTTTTTTTCTTGTGGTTTGAGCTCAGTGGAGTTTGAGATTCTTGGCACAAACAGTAGTAGCGTGAGACGGCTTCTGATCTGGTTTTGTGGGACTCGCCCGGGGAGGTGGCTTGGGGCAAGGGGGCGACAGGTCGAGGCTTCTCTGCTGTCCTGAAGTTTGAAGATCAAAGTCTTGACTGAGTGAGTTGGTTCCCGGTTTGGGGAGCAGGGAAGACAGAGGTGTAGGCAGGCTGAGCCGGATTCTTGGCTAGGTTGGGCGGTGAGCAACATTTACATCTGGGACAGGGAGTGGGGGAAGCAGTCTGAATCTGGGAATCCGGGAGCCCACCCCGCCCTTGCTGGGCGGGCTTCTTTCGGGCGAAGATCTTCAAACATTTTAAGGGGTGGGAAGGGGGAGCTGAGAAGGAGGGGGTGGGGGGAATGGGAACCAGATGCCGGAGAAGGGCACGTTTGGAGCTCAAGTTATCTGTTGCAGAGTCGAGTGGGGAAATTTGCCGAAATTGGTTTCACCTGCACCTAGCCAGGGCGGCTGGAAGCGCGCTGCCTCAGTGTGGATGCTCTCGGGAGGGGGTGCGCAGGGGCGTCCCGCGCGCGCCAGGGCAGAGGCAGCGTTTGGAAGGAGGTGTCCGCACCTCCTCGTCCCACTGCCGCCCTCCACCCTCTTGGTTCCAGTTCACCTTCCCCGCCCCTTCCCCATCCCCCACGCCTCAAAAAGTGTGGTGGGAGCTCAAATTTCGTCTTTGAAAAAGCAGCGTCAGATACTTGAGATGAGCACCTCGTGGATAGCTGCGTTGCTTGATTTGAATTTGAGGAGTTGAAAAGCCTGTTTACTTGCTTGCTTTGATGTTGGGTAGATCTGGTTTTGATTAGATCAATACCCTTTTCTCTCTCCCCACCTCCCCCCTTCCTTTTCTTTCCAGAGTGGAGGCTCAGATGAGCGCCTGCTGACTAGAGAGAGAAAGAAACTGGGCGGAGTGGAGAGGAACTGGAAGGAGAGGAAGAATTCCCAAACTCAGAAGAGCTCGCTAACCATGAGTAGCGCTGTGTTGGTGACTCGCCTCCCGGATCCCAGCAGCAGCTTCCGAGAGGATGCGCCCCGGCCCCCTGTTCCCGGGGAAGAAGGGGAGACACCACCGTGCCAGCCAGGAGTGGTCAGGGTCCAGGCCACCAAACCCATGCCTGTCTCCTCCAACACCAGGCGGAATGAAGATGGTCTGGGGGAGCCAGAGGGCCGGGCGTCCCCCGATTCTCCTCTGACCAGGTGGACGAAGTCCTTGCATTCTTTGCTGGGAGACCAAGATGGTGCTTACCTCTTCCGGACCTTCCTGGAGAGGGAGAAATGCGTGGATACCTTAGACTTCTGGTTTGCCTGCAATGGGTTCAGGCAGATGAACCTGAAGGATACTAAAACTTTGCGAGTAGCCAAAGCAATCTACAAGAGGTACATTGAGAACAACAGCATTGTCTCCAAGCAGCTGAAACCTGCCACCAAGACCTACATAAAAGATGGCATCAAGAAGCAACAGATCGACTCCATCATGTTTGACCAGGCACAGACTGAGATCCAGCTGGTGATGGAGGAAAACGCCTACCAGATGTTTTTGACTTCTGACATATACCTCGAATACGTGAGGAGTGGGGGAGAAAACACAGCCTACATGAGCAATGCTGGACTGGGGAGCCTGAAGGTCTTGTGTGGCTACCTCCCCACCTTGAATGAGGAAGAAGAGTGGACTTGTGCCGACTTCAAATGCAAACTTTCACCCACTGTGGTTGGCTTGTCCAGCAAAACCCTGAGGGCCACAGTGGGTGTGAGGTCCATGGAAACTGTTGAGAATGGATACAGGTAAGACTTTGGGAGGGGCTGGGATGGGGGGCTTGGAGGATGGGCCTGGCTTTACAGCTGCTCCTGGTGAAGTAGGGTGGATGCATGGATGGACGGGTGCATGTGCTGCAGAGGCCAGCCACGAACGCTTTGATCTTGCTTTCTGTTGTTTAAAGGGGGGTGTGTGTGTGGAAGTGATGCGCAAATAGCTAAATACTTACAGTCTTCCTGAGCTAACTTCAAACAGTGGCAAACAGTATTCATTAATGTGGGTTACTCATTATCCTGGCCAGGAGTCTCAGAAGGGGTGATACGGAGAGCGGACAGCAGCTTTTGATGCCTCTGAGTCACCAGGCCCACTAAGCACTGGTTTGGGAAGGGGTCATTTCACCACTAATCAGCAGAGAGTGGAAGTAATAGATGGCTGGGAGGTGGCTGGGCTGTGGTAAGGGCACAGGAAATAGCGTGCAGACCCACTGAGGGGTAAGTGGGATCTTTTGAACTTTTATGTTAAGATAAGAAACAGCAATTGGCTTAATGACTGGGCTTGTGGTTCTCTGTGGAATTAGGAGATATTTACCCAGCAAGAAGTGCTTCTATCTAGGAAAGGTCCTTGTTCTGGTGATGGCTCGGGGGCTCCCGAATGAAGGACCCTTAGCCTTAGTGTCTGGTGGTCTCTTAATCCAGGTTTTAAAGGCTTGTGAGCCTGAGGGTCAGACCTTGGTGGGCGATTTGTTTATTAGTGCTTTTGGAGAGGAGATCTTGGCTCAGGAGTCATAGGCTGTGGAGTACTTGTCTTTTTGAGGCTTTGAAGACAAACAGTACTTTATAGAATGGCAAAATCTTAAGATTCTTGACCTTTGCAGGCAACTTCAGACCTGTTAGAATGAGTTTTTCTGTTTCTTCCTTTCTCCCCACTTCCAAGTATCCAAAAAGAGAAGAATGCATATCTTAATCCTGGGTTGTTGTCCGTGACATCCAGGGCGGGTGGCAGGTGGTGGCCCTTGGTTGCTGTTCACTTGATTGATGTCAGTCAAAGTAGCTTATCTTGTGATCTGGAACTTCTGTGTTAGAGACCCAAGATGCCTCTTCTGAAGACTTCCCGCTGGGTAGGGCGTGGCCACCACTGTCTTGAAAGAGGAGGAGGAGCTAGATTACTGGATAGGTGATCTGCAGCCCCTTGAGTTGGGCTAGGCAGGTAATTCTGAGCCTAGCAAATCATGATCTAGGGGTGATGAGTGGATTGCTAGTTAGAAGGGGAAGGGCTTATTTGCCAACCACCAGGGGGCGCACTTACAGCCTTGCAAGCGAGTCCCGCAACGCTCAGATGTCTGTCTGGTCGGCACCTAAATAGAAGGGGGTTGGCTTCTGCAGGGAGGGGTAGGATCACAAGAGGTAGTTGTTTGGGCGTCTTTAAGCTTATGGAGTCAGGCTGTTTTGGAGGAAGGTTCTGGGTCTGGCCTGTACCGCAGGACAGTCACTGGGCACCTGCCAGTGCTGCCCAGCTCCCTTTTGAGGGTGTAGGGGTGAGCCTCTGTTGCTGGCCTCCTTGACTTGCAGCCTGACAGCAGTGGTAAGCCTGCTTCTCTAGGGGCCTCTGTCTCCTGGTGTCAGCCCCAGAGTGTCACCTTTGTAAACAGTGTAAGAAGGTACACCCCAGGCAGGACCTGGCTTTGACTCCTCTCCTTATAGTGGGCAGTGGGGACCCAGCCTTGCCCCTCACCTTCCAGAGGCTCTGACCAGGATATGAATGGCCAGCATGAATGTCTTGCTTGAGATTACCTCTGGGGAGGCTTTTGAGAGCCTGGAGTCTGGGGCGGATCTTGCTTTCCAGAGCCACCTTCCTGGTTGTGAACTGGGGACACCATTGATGCTAGAGAGTGGAGTTTGCACTGGCCTGGAGAGTTTCCCTACTGGATTCCCCTGTACTTACTCCCACTGTTGGATTGGAATGAAGCATTTACCTGCACCCTATGAGCCCGTCTGTGTTGGGCATCAGGACAGAGGGCCGAAGACCTGTCCAGCTGGTTCAGTTTCATTTTAACATGCAAGATACTTCAGTGTGTGTGCAGTTTGCTGTCAAGGATCTTGAGTTATTTGAAGGCCTGGGTCCTAGCAGGGGTCGCCTTACTACGTAGACTGAAACATTCCTGAACCTCACGTGCCCATCTGTAAAACAGGTGGGCACCATCCCTTCTGTGTCCTAGAATTGTTCTTGGGCTTGAAACAATAAACTTGAAAACCTTTTATAAAGGGGAAACATGTTTAAAAGATACAAAGTGTTATAATTGGTATAATTAATAATAATTGGGTATATTTAAAGAGCAACAAGGTTATAGCATATTGCTTTTTTAAAGGGTGATTGTTCTAGTGCATTTTTCATTCTCAAGTCTTAGGGCGTCTCCTTCCTGCACCTTTCTACTTGTTGAACTTGGGTCTGTCTTTCCCTGCCTGCTCTTGTCATGTAGGAACCCCGAGTGGTCCAGGTGTGGGCCTGCCCTGCCCGTGCCACCCACTCATCACTGCCCAGGGCACCCAGCCTGGAGGATGGATGGGAGGGAGATGAGCTGGACAGAAAAGGCGCGCCCTGCTTGGGGGCTCTGCCCCGTGGCTGTGGAGCTGTCCTGGCGGCCCCATGCCCGGGGCACTGGCCAGCCTTCTGAGCCCTGTTTACCTTGGCCACTCAGAGGAGCCTCATTTTGAACAACTTGTTTGTGTCCTTGCTGATTTGGTGTCAGATTTAATATAAATAGTTGGGACGGAAGAGCAGGAATTATCCTCAGAGGAGGGAAGGGCCTGGTTTGTGAGTGGCTGAGTGGGATGCCTGGGCTTTTGATGGCCTCTATAAATAACCCGGAGCAAAAGTGATCTGCTGGGGAGCACGAGGGAAAGCCGGCACGCGGCACGCGGCACGCGGCACAGGCACAGGGGCGAGGTGAGCGCGCAGGGCGGCGTGGTCCCGGGCCCGACATTTAGTTTGGGAAGGATGCAGCGGGGTGCCCCAGGATGCAGCACTGCCTGTGCTCCCAGGCCCTGGGCTGGTCTCATCTGCCACCCCTCTTGCCTCCTGCTCTGGCTTCCCTTACAGTCCAGCAGGCCCAGCAGATGGCCTCTGCTGGCTCTCCGTGCTTCCTGGTCTCTGAAAGAACTGGCTGATGGGGCCCATTTTTGTGTGAGGCCATTGAGAGGGAGCCTAGCCTCAGTGACCTGAGCGTCTGATGCCATCGCACAGAGAAGCTGGAAGCAGTGGCCGGCAGAGGGAGGGTAAAGCTCCGACGAAGTCGGTTGGCGGAGACAGACCCACTTGTCAGGCTGTGCCTGGTTGCAGAAGCCCTGCCCACGCGCAGTCCACCTCTTGCTCTTGCCTTCCCAACTCATGAAGGGGGTGGTACCTTTTGAGCTGTGATCTTGTAAAGTTGTCAGAGGCTCTGGGAAAGCCCGAACTCAGCCTCAGAAGCAAGTCGCCCTTTGCTGCATGGTCCTCAGCTGGGGCTGAGAAGGGTGCCCTGCAGGTGGGGTCTCTCCGGCTCTGTCAGAGGCCTTTGCTCTGGGGCATGGGAGGGCAGCAACCTCAGCATTTAAGTTAAGACACGGGAAGCTGAGGCAGGAGGATCCCAAGTTTTGGGCTAGCCTGGACTACTCAGTGAGACCTTGTGTGGGAAAAACCAAAGGATAAAAAGGAAAGGTAAGAGTGGGCTGGCCACACATTTCCTTCCCTTGAGGCTCTTGGAGCTTCTGCTACCTGTCAGCCCTTTATGTCCTGAGGTGGCAGACAGGCCCAAGGATGCACACCCAGCACAGAAAGCCACCCCCCCCACCCCGGCCTCCCACTCTGCAGGAATGCAGAGTCCTGGCCCAGCAGTCCTGAGGCAGCATCAGAGCATCTGGGCATGAATGGTGTAGCATGGGCCAGTTTCTTTCCATTTTATTTATTTTTAAGTAATCACAAGAAAATAGCTCTAATCCATTTTCTTACAATTCATGTGCTGCTGAGAAAGTTCTGGGTCCCTCAGAATTGAGTCTCTGCCTCTCCCCATAGCCCGCCTCCTTCCTCTGCCTTGTTAGGTTATGATTGTAGGCAGACTCAAGTGCTTTCTTGCAGTCAGCTGAGTGAAGAGCATTATATTCCATTTTTAATTAATGATCCCACAGTAGCCCTCTATTTGGAAGTGGAGGCGCCAAGTTTATTTTGGGGCCCATGTGTGAAAGAACTTGTGTGGCAGTACGCACACTCCGTGGTGTTTGAGTCAGGTGTCCTTTTGTTGGGGAGGGTTTCTCTTGAGTCATTTTCTCCCCATGGAGACGCAAGTATAAGGGTTACATCTGAGACATTGTTGATGTGTTAATACCACCAAGATAGAAAGACTGAGGGCAGGGAAGGAGCGTTTGAATGCTATTTAAGGCTGCTTTGGCTTTTTTGATCTTGCACTCTGCCTCTTTTAAGACTTCTCAGTGAATGTTTGATGGATCTAGGTCTTTGAAGAAGGCTCAGCCAAATGTTGAGCTCTTGCCACATGCCACCAAATACCTCTGGTGTGGGAGATGCGTCCAAGGCTGGCTGTGCCCCTCCACGGACTGCAGTCTGGTACATGCACATACACCAGGGCTGTCGCATGCTGAACACGACAAAAGAAGTTGGTAGTGTACTCTATTTTGGGAATAGAGCTCTCTATTTTTGTTGGCGGTTGTTTTGGGAGGATATTGCTGTGACCCTCAATGACAGGGCCCCGCCTGGGCCTTTCTGAGGGTGGAGGAATGTGGCCCAGGTGGCTTTGTGTGAACTGCACATTTTCTAGGTGGGGGCCGCACACCTAGGGCAGCTGTGACATGGCACAGCTGGCTGGCAGGTCAGCCAGCATCAGCTCTCCAGCCTCTTGACTTCTGGTTCCTGCTGCGATTGTACAGAACCTGCTTGTCGCTGGGGCCTGATGGTAGGAGGGGACCTTGAAGAAGTCATTGTATTTTATCTCCCTGCTTGGAGTCAGTCACCCCATCCAAGCACTTTAGAGCAGGGAATTTCCTGCTATTTTAAAAATGACCATTTAGAAACCCTTTCTCCTTTCCAACTTGTAAAGACACTTCCTGGTGTTCCATCTCTGGTGGCCACACGGAGCAGGGACCTCTTCCTCCTCCTTGAGTTCTTCCCCAGTCAGGAAGCTGCTTTTACTGGTTCATTCATTAGTCTTCTCAGCTCCAGAAAGAGCACCTGCCTTCCTGTATTCCCAGTTCTCCGCATGCCCAGTGTCTGGAGACCCTGGAGGACATGGTTGAGGAACATGCATGAGCGATCCTAACTGTTCTCATCGAGTCTCCACAGAAAGTTCTAGGATGTGGTGGAATTGCCTGCCTCCCCACATAGAATAGGGCAGGTCTCGCAGGGCAGTTCAGAGTCACCTGGCAGAAAGTATTCTGTGATCCTTGTACGACACTCCAATGCCGTGTAGGCCGTGTAACGCTTCTGGAGTCCAGCGTTCTGCTCTAGCCTAGCTCAGGGCAGAGCCAGTGTCCCAGCTCACGACCAGGTGCTTGGCCTAGGTGGGGCTGGGGACCTGCTTGGCCACTGGGGCACCTTTAAGGAGATGATGTGTGCTGGCCCTGTTGGTGGTACTGGGGTGCAGCAGTGAGGAAAACAAGGACGCTGTCCCCATCCCACAAGGCACGGTGTGCGCACCAGGTGTTCAGTTTGTGCCCATTTGATTTCTCCTTGCATTTTTTGGTGGTGGTGGTGGCGCTGAGGATGGACTCCAAGGGCCTTGCAATGCTAGGCAAGTGCTGTACCACTGAGCTACAGCCCCAGTGCTGTTTCCGAGGGAAGACATTGGTTTAGATGTGTGTAGGGTTCATTATAGTGATTTCCACTAGAGTGAAAGCTCCTTACAGCTAGGGTCTGGCTGTCCCTGTTGACACCCAGAAGTGCAAACAGCTTCCCTTTGGGCCTCCTTTGCGCTCATCCCTCCTTCCAGTCCAGCCTGTTGGCACCTTGGCCCCACGCGCTGCTCCCCTCTTCTACTCCCAGCCTTCAGGTCCCTCCTTATCCTGTTAAGATAGACTGGTTTGACACTAAAGGCCCACTCCTCTGTCCCTTGTCCTAGGCTTTGTGAGCTTGACTAGTTAGCCCCCTGGTCTGGGGGAAGCTTTTCTCTGCCTTTCTGGTGTCATCTTGCCTTTTGGCTTGTCCGTCATGATGCACCTCGCCCCTAGCCATCTCTTCTAGAAATGTCCACTCCATCATCTTGGTTCCCTACATGGAGTTGGTTATGCCTTAGTCTAAAACTTTGTGTTAGGAGGCAGAAAGAGGGGTGGGGTGAAAGCCAGATGGACCCACGCCAAGCCCACCAGTTAGTTCCATGGTGCTGCACAGGGCAGGGGCTCTGCGCGGACGCCAAGGACCTCACCTGTCAAGTGGGCAGAGCACGCTGTGCCTCTCCCTGGGGTGCTCTGTGTCGTTGTTGGTCAGTACCATGCCTGCCGTTCACATTATGGTTATGTGCCCAGTACAGACCGCAGGTGTCAGGAGATGGGAGCCTGGGGTTGCAGACACCCAAGAGCACATGCAGAGGACTGGCTGTGACCTTGGGTGGGTTCCTCTCCCCTGCCTGGCCCAGGGCTTTCTGTAGCCCAGCTGCTGTGGCCTGAGAGACTGTGCTGTCTTCTCTGAGCCTTTTCTCTCCTCCGCTGATGTCTTTGCTGCCTGCTTAGCCGAGTGGCCCAGTGGTGGAGTAGCTAGGCGCTGGGAAGGAGGCCTCCTGCAACTTCAGGCTAGAACCCATCCTCCTCCCCCCTGCTGAACTCCCTGGCTGGTGACACAAGAGGAATGCGACCCAGCAGGAGACAGGCGCACTGCTTGTTCTGGGAGGAGATCAAGAGAGCAGAATGAGGACCCAGAGGCCAATGAGACAAAAGGGCTGGAGACCCCCGGAGGAGGGGCCTGGGCCTGGCTTTCAGACAGCTGTGCTGCTCATTTCAGCCCTTAGGCCTCTGTGAGCCCCGGGTGAGGAAGGCCTGGGTGGGGGGAGGGGCAAGGCCGAGGCTCCTAGGCTGAGATGAGACCCCTAACCCTTGTCCTGTGCTCTCGTGTGTCCAGCTCAGTGTGGGCACTGGGCCAATGGGAGACAGCTACACCATGACAGTTTGCATCTCTGGACAAGGCTGACAGACTTGAGGCAGGGAGTTAGGGTGTTTGGGGGCCAGTGCTGGGTTCTTGTGGTCAGGCCTGGATATGGAGGTGGAGAGAGGAGCCTTGCTTCCTGTCTCAGCATCGCCACTGACTCCCCTAGGAGAGCGGGCTATCTCCCTTCCCTGTGCATGTGTATTCAGGACTCAGGATTCCCAGGGCCGTCCCTGCAGTACTAGCCCCTGCCCACCCTCTGGCGGCATGCCTTCTGGGAGTCAGTGGTTAACATCCTCCCTTTGGTGACCTTTGCTTTCTGTCCAGGCCTGCAGCTGGACTGGGCATCAGAGTGGCATGAAAGAGAGCCAGAATCATATACTTGTCCTGAGGTCACAGGATGGCCTGGGTTTCTGTGCGGTCGGTCTGTGATTGCAGCCCCTTTGTGTTTTCTCTTAGGTCCTTCAAGAGGAGTGATCCCGTGAACCCCTACCATGTAGGCTCTGGCTATGTCTTCGCGCCAGCCACCAGCGCCAATGACAGTGAGATATCCAGTGATGCCCTGACTGATGACTCCATGTCCATGACCGACAGTAGTGTGTAAGTCTCTGGGGTCCGCTCTGTGTACATGCCTGGGAGTGTAACTCTCCAGGGCACTGGGCAGAACTGTCACATCCCCACCTGGCTTTATAAAGCCCATGTGTGTGAGTGTGGACATTTGCTTGGAACAAGGGAGTATGACAGCGGCTTGACACTGGTGAAGGAGAGGGACGTGACAGTTTAGGTAATGTTAAGCTGACAGCCTTGACCAGGAAAGTTGGGATGGTACCTTAACAGAAGAAAACCAAAGTATGGCAGAAGGTTAAGATGAGATGACTGTAGATTCCTGAGTTTAACTAACCATCTTTGGTTGTCCCCTTGGGAACAATTGCTTGGTTGGTCTTTGAACCCAGGTATCCAGTGTGTAGAACCACAGGTGGGACACAGGGTGGCCTCCCCAGAAAGCATTGTGTTTAGAAGTCCATTGTCTTTGCGGGGAACAAGCATTGGTGGTGGGGGTCAGAAAGTCAGATACCCTTAAAGGGCCACCGTACACTGTGCCAACGTGCAAATGTTGCGGTGGGCATCATTAGTTGAATAAGAGCTGGTGGAATGTCAACCCTTTTTTAGTGCCAGGGGTCCTGCCGGGGGGGGGGGGGCAGCTCTCTCCAAAATAGTGCCCGATAGTAGATCCTCTTTAGATGGGTAGCTCTGGATTTTTCAAAGTCATCAAAGTCACTGAGGCGGTCTGAGGTCAGTAGGTATTCAGGTCAGATCACGCTTTGATTCTGAGGCCAGCTGAAGTTGACTGGTGCTCTCTAGAGGGAGGGCAGTGATTCTCGTGGGTCTCCTGGAGGGGGTGGGGGAGGGGTGTATGTGTCGTGGTGGCCTGAGGACTCGGTTTCCTGCCATCCTTTGGGGTTCTGATTCAGGAGGCTCAGGGTGGGGCCTGGCACGGCGCAGTTCTCCATCCAAGGGCTTTTCTCCCTGCTGAGAATCACCGTTCCCGGCATGGCCTTTGAAGGCTTCTCAGCAAATACTTAGAGTCAGACTTTGCCTGCTAAGGGAACAGTTTTGAAAGCCTATTGAATAGTGTAAGTTCTGGCACACTTACTCAGACTTTGTTCCTTTTAGCGTCCTAAAGCGGTTCTTCTCATTTGTTCGAGACTATCTGGTTTCTGTTGGCCACTGCGCTGCTGCTGCTTGCGGCATGGGACCAGCTGGAGCGAGAGCCTGCAGTTAGCTTGGGCCTTCGCCGTGATTTCCTGGTGCTTTCAGTTGTGCTACCTCAAGTTAATAAAGGGCGAGGGAACCTTAAGGTGAAAAGTCCCATTTTAAGAGGAGAATTCCAGCTTGGCAGGAGCAGAAACAGCGGCGGAGGTCACCTTTCGTTTGCTTTGGAGGTGTAGGTTCCAGAGAAGTGGGTTTTCATATTGTCTGGATTTTTTAATTTTTTGTTTTGTTTTGTTGAGACAGGGTCTTGCTGTGCAGTTCAGGCTGCCCTTGAGCTCACTTTGTAGCCCAGGCTGGTCTTGAACTTGCAACAGTTTTCTTGCCTCAGCCTTCTGAATGCTGGGATCACAGGCACGCGCCATCACACCCAGCTTTGGATTTTTTAAAAGTGTCCATGCTTGAAAAAAAATTCTTTAGATATACATTTTTTCTTTTCAGTTTGTGTGTGAGCTCAGGCGCATGCATGTGTGTATGGGGTAGTAGTGGGCATTGAACCAGGACCTTCACACTGAACTACTACCCTACTCTTCTATTTTGGGGGCAGTCTTGCTAAATTGCCCAGGCTTGACTAGAACTTGTGGCCCTCCTGCATCAGCTTCCCAGAGTGCTGGGCTTGCAGGTGTGTACCACCATAGCCAGCTGGATATAGTTCTTAAAAGTACATTTTGCTTTGTTTTTACTGAATAATTTTAGACAAGGCATAGTTTACTTCTCCTAATGTAAAAAATTAACATGGAGGCTTGTTTTCGTAAGCCATGTGGCTGTCTAGAGGTATCTGATCCCAGCTGCCCACTCTACTCTTCAGATAGGTTTTCTCTTTATCCTTCTACCTGCTGTCTTTTTGTGGCTACCATCCGTGTCCTTGCTTCTATCAAACATTACTCTCTGCGTTTATCAACCTGTGGACTGCATAGGCGTCTTAGTGCTACGTGTAAAGCAAGAGTTGGAACTGAATGGAGGCATTGAGTGAATCTCCTAGGTCCCATGCAGTTTACTTAAGACTATGGGGCTTCTGTTTAGATTTCCTAGACTGTTTTTGGCTGGCTTCCTGGCCCTTGGCTGTGTTTCATTTCCCATCACTGAGGTGTTATTCTGGGTTCCTGATGAGATAACTTGGGTGTGGGCTCCATCTCACTTCATCTGATCCTCTCAAGACATCAATCGGAAAGGTGGACAGTGATACACAAGGAAGGATGATGTCCTGAGCGTCACCTGCCCTTCATGGCCAAGGAGGAGCCTGGTCCAGGCGAGCTGGAGGCCCCTGCTGGTTATGCGCTATGCTTACCCCAGCACAGAGATTTTTGCTACGAGATGTGTTCATAGGACCAGTTGCTCCTGAGGCCCGTGAGCCACTTGGGTTCTCTTTATTAGTTATAAGCTTGGGGAAGAGTAAGGAGGGAAATCCTACTCCTCACTGACTCCTCTTGCCCCCTGCCCAGAAAGAAAGTGCTTTCAGTTCCAAACTTGACTTCCAACTTCTTACTCCTTCCCCTTGAGGCCATTGCAGGTCTTGAGGAGGTTTGACAGCCACTGATCCTAGGTAGCAAGGGGTAGCATGAAGGTCATTAACACTCTATTTTTTACATTTATGATTACTGTTTAGTACCAGAAATCGAACTCAGGACCTTGCACTTGCCAGGTAGGTGCTTGTGCTGCTGAGTTATATCCCCAGCCCAAAAGTAATATGGAGACAGAAGCTGGGCCTGGTGCTGTACACCTATAATCCCAATACTCTGAGAGGCTGAGTCAGGAGGATCACAGGTTCAAGTCCAGCCTTACCAACTTAGCAGACAATTTAATGAAACCTTGTCTCAAGTAATAAGAAAGGGCAGGGGACATAGCTCAGTGGAAAGACTAGCTTTAACCTTCAGTACCACCAAAAACCAAAACCAGTACCCTCTTCCCCCAGGAAAAAAACAATCTACAAAACGACAAATACCTTGTTTTGTATCTTTCTCTGGGGCGCAGCAGGCACCTTGGGCCCCCCGGTGGGAGAGCCTGCAGGTGTTATTATGACATGGTATGGCTGCCTACCACTGGTACTGAGTAACCAGGAAGCCAGGAAAAAGCTGGCAGTGTTGGCTCTGATGATCCTGGCAGTGCTGGGGGCTTGGAGACCTGTGCCAATCAAGTGGGCAGGCTGTCAGGTTCACTGTCATGCTTGCACCCAGCTGGGGGTGTGCAGGCCAACTGGGGGGGCAGGTGGCAACAGAGATCAGGCATTGGCAGGAGTTGTGTCTCCTGCCACTTGTGGTGGGGACAGAAGCACCCCAAAACCAGGAGCCCATAAGAAAGGACAAGCTCACCCTTAAAGGCCCCTGTGGCTCTGAGACTGCCAGGAGCTCCAGGTGTGGGGTCCCTGTGGCCCCCACTCTGGCCAGGCGGACTTGGCTGCTTGGGGCGCTGCGGGGCCCCCTGGCCACTTGGCCCTGCGGATGGGCAATCTGCCCTGTTGCTGGTCACCCGGGATTCCCAGGGCTGGGATTAGACCCCTCTTCAGAGCTCTGCCAATTGCGGGCCTCGTGCAGATGAGCGCGCCAAGAGAGAAATAAAGTGTGCAGGGGATGAAAAGCGGAGCTGAATCGCTTTCAGCCCATTGTTCATCCCGGGGAACTTAGAGGGGATGAGAGGGTAGCAGGCCCCTTTGAAATTTCCTTGAACAAGTGAATAGGAGCGCCCCATAAAGCATGAAAAGAGCCCTGGCGGTTTCTCCTCTCACAATGGCCAGTGGCGGCTGTGAGGGGCTGGGGAGTGGGGCTGGCTGCCCTGCTGGGAGCTGGGAGGGGACAGGGCTGGGGCCGGGGGAGAAGGGGTCACAGGCAGCCTTCAATAGACTCCAGAAGGTTGGAGTTCATTAGACACAAGCCCAGGGAGGCAATCGTCTCATTTGCCACAGAACCAATTAAGTCCCGGGGGCCTTTGCAAGAGGCCTGGGTAGGTGGGGCAGGGCCGGCCTGTACTTGGTTATTCCAGGGAGCCGAATGGGCCTGGATGTGCAGAGCAGGCCGGGGCTTTAAAGAAACCACTGCCGCTCCCATTGCCTGCTGCTGACTTCTGTTTCCCTGCTAAGTAAAAAGCCCCGTTAAAGACGGCTGGGGATTTGAGTCTCCGTTATAGGCTTCTGAGAAGGCTGTTTTATGAGCCTGTTACTCTCAAACCTGCATTCTCAGAAGGAATGGCTTTTTAACTTTTTTTTTTTTTTTTTTAAAGTTAACCACCAGATTTCCAGCAAAATCCAAAAGCAGCCCTTAAGTGTGCTGAGGGCAGAAGGAACAGGGGCCATTCCAGGGCATCAGGCTCAGGAGGGTGGGGCCCAGGGGCAAGAGCACCAGCAGCAGCAAGACCCTGGCCACCAAGGGGAGCCTGGTGGGCGAGAGGTGTCAGGGACTGGAGAAGCCACGTGGCTGGCATGGAGCCGTCTCTGTCTTGTCTTTCTGCACAGAACTGCTCCTGTAGTCAGGGTGAGCAGCAGCTGCCTGCTGAGTGTCCCCATGTCAGCAGAGGAGGCCTTCCTGGCCCTGCAGGGGGCGGCAGTTGTTTTTATGTATGCATTTTTATTTCCTGACAGCTCATTTATGGGTGCTTGCCCTGGACACCAGGGAGCGCATCTGCGTGAGCTGCAGACGTCACCTTATCTTACTCTCCAGGCTTTTGACAGTGGCTAGGATCAAAGGCCACCTCAGAGAGACTGCCACATGCAGATGTGCGTGGTCGTCCGCACAGGGCCCTATTTCAAAACCTCTGGAAAATGACATTCAGGTTAGGTTGGACCCGGCAGAGTCAAAAGGCTGAACTAATTGGCTTGGCTTAAATGGCAGCTGAGTGGTCCACACTTCCAACTCGGTGCTCCCCGGAAACAGCTGGGCCTGGCAGTGGGCTCGTTAGCTAAAATGTTTATAATGAAAGGAGACTACAGAGGGACCGAAACTCTGGCGCTCTTCAGCTCACAGTTTTGAGCAGCCAGGAAACTGATCATAGACTTGTAGTGCCTGCGTGAGGGGCTGCTTTGGAAGCAGAATCTTGGCGGGGAAGCTGCAGCCACGCTGCCTTAAGGTTGCCCGCAGCCCTCTTTGGTCCTCTCCAGGCCACGCCCCCGCTTCTGCTCTGCTCATGAGCTGCCTTGGCTCAGCTGTCTGTCACCTTCCCTGGGGCTGGGCTGGGGCCCATCAAGTGCTGCGTTCAGCTGACCCTCGATGCTGCTGTTGCTGCTTCCCCTTGCTCTGCACCTCTTCTCTTTACTTTCTCCCTTCTATGAAGAGAGCAGGAGAGTTATACCCTCCTTGCCATTGATTCTGAGAGGAAAGGAAGGAGAAAAGAATGAGGTCCCTTGGTGGAGACTTGAGGGTTGCCCAAGGGGTCAGGTGGGGGGCTGTCCTAGTCCCCTTGAGCCTGTGTCATGTGCCACAGTAGGGCTGACAAGGGGTCTGACTCTGACCTGCAGTTTTCAGGAAGATGAGAAGAGCAAAGCTCTCTGGAGTCTCTGAAGGGTTCCGGGCAGTAGAGGACAGTGACCACTGTCGTGCAGGCTTGGGGCAGAAGCAGGTAGGCCAGGCTGAGAGACCCCTCTGTGGGCCCCCACCGCCTGGCTCTGCTGGCATTTCCTGTCTGTCCTATTAGAATGTCACGGGGTGCTCAAGCAGTGGCACCTCCATCTTCAGATGAGCAGGAAGCCTGCTAGGCCCAGGAGTGCCATCTGGAAATGGGGACCTTGAGGGTGGGCTGCTGAGTCAGGACACCTATTCTGAAGCCTAGCAATGGCTTAGACTGGATCTGGGAACGTGAATCCTGGATCTTCCTGCAACCAAGGATTACTGAGTGTTCCTGGTCCTAAGTAGAATGTGATTCACAAAGACTTGTGAGAAGGAGGTCTGTTGACATGTCCGCGTCTGACCCACAGCAGGTACTGGGGCTGCGGGCTCTGGTGGCTGGCTGCACGTGCACGTGTGCTCAGGAGGGTCGAGTTTCCTCCTGTGTCCAGTAAACGGCCCAACACTGAGTTCTGATAAACCAACTTAGCCAGTGGAGTAAACTGCTAGACTTGGAGCCTTCTCTCCTACCTGTCCCACCTTCAAGAGCCTGGTCAGATGTCAGGGAGGAGGCTGCCTAGAGACCTGCTTCTTACTGGCACCGGTCAGATGGCCAGCCCTTCCCACAGCTCCTCCCCGCTCCTTCTCAGCTTCCTCCAGGGAAGGACTCTAGAAGTTTCTTAGACATTGATCGCTCTCCTGCCCGCTCCCTGAACCTTCAGGGTGATTATCTCTTACACAGTCTTTAGCCAAGGCTTGGCTCTCAGAGACTGGTTCACTGCCACACTGGAATCTTGTCTTCTCAGTGGCCGTGTTGTTCTACGTCCTCAGACTCCCAGCAGATGCAGCCACTGAGGACTGTAGGTCATCGCAGATAAGGAGTCCCTGGGCAACCAGTTACCCCTGCCCACTCACTCCCTTGACTTTAGGCTCTGTTATTTGTCACTGCTGATGAGCCAAAGGTGTTTTCTTTCATTTCACTCTGTGAACACAACACCAGGAACCTGAAACATCCAAACACCCAGTTTCAATATTTACAATCTCCAAGCGTGATGCACTGTGGAAGTGGTTGAGTGTGGCGGCTTTGTAAGTCATCATTGGGCAAGAATCACACTTTAACCACTCTTACTGCTTTCAAGAAAGAAATTATTTTTAAGAAACTATACCAATTTCAGGTCATTTTTTTAGTGAAAGGTAATTCAAGTGTAGCTTTAAAAAAAAAAAAATCTTCTTGCTTATGTTTCTGAGACATGGTCTCCACGGTGTAATCCAGGCTGATCTTGAACACACAACTGCTGCCTCCCTGTCCCAAGTACTGGGACTGCAGGTGTCACCACCATGCCAGCTTTCGCTAATTTTGTTGTATGTGGTTTTTTTAAAAAAAAAAATTCTTTTTGAATGATGACATAGGTGTATCCACACAGCTTTAGGTCTTTGCCCAAACTTTACTTCTCAAGGACTTCAGCAAACCCTCTCCCCCACCACCACTTTATTTTGTAGTACTGGGGATTGAACTACAAAGCACTGAGCTGTACCCCTCACCCCCCTTTTACTTTCTTGACACAGGGTCTTGCTGAGTTGCCTAGGATGGGCTTCAGCTCTGGATCCTCTGACATCAGCCTTGCAGACTGTTGGGATTATGGGCACACATAACCACTCTGCCCCCAGCTCGGAACCCCTCCACACACTTTAAAATTGGAGCTCCCCCATTTCCAGAGACTCCCAGCTTCCTGCCGCATTATCATAGCACTTACATCTTCCAGCCATGTTTTGCCCATGGCCTGTGCCACCCCATTAAAGTGACTTCTTAAAAACAATGCAATTTTTAACCCTTATTCACTGCTCTTTTGCCTAGTGCCTAAGACAAGCCTGGCACATAGTAGGTGCTCAACATCTTAAAGAATTGTGCAGAAAGGCCACAACATGTCATGTATTAATTATTGTAACTGTCCTACTAACCTGTTTTGAAACTGTCTCATTGCTATGTCTGTCTCAATAGAATTAAAAAGCAAAAGGAATTGTGCAGAGTACCGCATAGGAATGGCTTTCTGTACACCCACATTGGTCCTCTCTCTGCTAATTTATTGAAGGTGGTGGGATTTGGAGCCAGACGAAACCACCATGCATGATTTTATAAAAAGAAATTTGGAAAGGGTCAAGAAGTTGGCTGTTGGATATAATGCTTCACTTAGGTTGGACCCCTGTGGGTCTGGTTCCTGTCCCAACCTTTTTGCCTTGGTGTGCTCTGCGGCACTGTTTTCATGATGGCGCTTGGCAGTGGTGACAAACTATGAAAAGAGGACAGCTTTCACTCTGCAACAGGCTGGACAGAGTGCAACGTTTCAAGACAGTAGCTAGAGCGTTGAGTTCTCCCACCTTTTTCCAAGTTGCTCCTGCATCTGCGAGGGAGCCAGGGTCTTTGAGATGGTTGGTGGCAGAGCTGGCAGTGGGTTTGGCAGCATGTTCTTGGATGGTTCCTCCCTGTGATGAGGACAGTCACTGTATCTGGAGATGTGTGGCTGCCCTACCAAGACTGAGGCTCGCGAGGGCCTGTGTGAGTGTAGCCCATGTGCTGAAGGCGTTCTCGAGACCTGTGGATATCTTGGTTTTCTCCCCATAGAGATGGAATCCCTCCTTATCGTGTGGGGAGTAAGAAACAGCTCCAGAGAGAAATGCATCGCAGTGTGAAGGCCAATGGCCAAGTGTCTCTACCTCATTTCCCGGTGAGTAAAGAGGGGAGGCGGCTGTTTTCTGTGGTGTTGAGTCCTGAAGAAAAGAGTTGGGAGGTGGGCGTTAGACAAGCGGCATAGCAAGTGCTCCTGAGGCTCAAGGTGACCTGTGCTTTGACTCTTCACATTATAGGAGTTGAGAAAGGGAAAGTTTCCTCTGAAAAAGAAATGGAAACAGCTCCCTCCTAGAAGCCAAGTAGTGCTAGATGATCACACAGTGCGCTAACTGCAGTCCCACTAGAGCAGAAGCCCATTGCCTTCTTTATCGAGACGAAGAACAGCTCCTGATACATTAGGTATTCAGTAACTGCTCAGATGAGTAAGTGATCGAGGTTAGAAGGCTGTGCTGCCTTGGAAGGAAAGTCATGTCCCCAGGACTGCCTGCTGCTTGTGCTGAATGGGGAGCTCAGTCTGCTGAGCCATCCATTTACCTGTTTGTTTTCTCTTACTCATGTCTGAGGGAGGATGGTGGTTGCGCCTTGTCTATTTCATTTTTTTTTTTCTTTTTGGTACTGTGCATCGAACTCAGGACCTTGCATTTGCCAGGCCACTGAGCTATCTGCCCAGCCTGCCTTGTCTATTTCAAACCCCAGAATTTGGCTTATACCTGCTGGTGAGCCTATGCCTGACAAATGCTGAACATTTTGGAAGAGCAGATCTGGTCTCCTAAGAGGAGCCTTCCTGTGTGTGGACAATGAAGGTCTTCTCTGGAACCTTTCCCTTTTAATTACATACCCTGAAAGCATTCAGCAGCACACGACCCCTTTTACTCAGGAGCCGCTCTGTTCAATTTCCCATTTCGGGGCTGTATTTTTTACACTGAGCTTGAGGGCCAGGATATAGGCACAGTTTTCTTCAAGAAGGCGAAGAGAGGACTGGCTTAATGGCAGGTGTCTATAAAGTTTCTGCACTGGCTTCAGAGACCAATTGATCTGTCTGCTTAGGTAGTGTTCACAAAACTTAACACATCAACTTGCTAGTCCTGTGTTGCCTTAGTGCACAGAGTGTCCCCCTTAGGTGAAAGCTCATCACTAGACAAGCGCAACCCTACCTTGCCCTGAAATCAGCATATGAAGACTCTTCTCCCTTGATAATATGAATGACCAAAATTTTTGACCTGGTGGGTGTCTGTGTTAACAAAGAAAAATACTGTGGCCCAAGCCTCAAGCTTGTAAATGAGATGATTTTTGTCCTGGGGTGTGCAAATGGACTTTATCCCTCACGCAGTGCTTTGATGGGTGTGAGGGTAGGGGATGCAGGGGGCCTGCCTGTGACAGTGGCCATCTACCCGGGCCTGTGCCCTGCCCCTCTCACATGTCTCAGCTAAGCCGCGGCTGTAGCAAGGCCCATTTCTTTGACTGGGGGAGACGTTGGTCCTCTGAAAGTTGGCTTCTGCTCCCCACACCCCAAAGCAAAGGGCAAAGCAAGGGGGAGCTAAGGAAAGAGGTAGAGCAGCGGAGAGGTGGGGGGTAGGAGAACTGAGATGACAGAAAAAGGACAGAAAGCTGGGCGGCGGGGGTTCTCTCTGTTTGCTGCTTTTGGCAGCGTTCTCGGTGCCTTTTTATATTCTACACTTGATTTGGAGATGTTCCCTTTTCCCTTGATAGATCAGCTTCAGGCAGCCAAGCTCAGCAGTGTTCTGCTACTAGCCTGCAGCAGCTTTCTTCATTTTCTGTACAAAGAGATGGGGAGGAGGGGAGGAGAAAAACGAGGGAGATCGAGGACTGTGTTGAGACAACACCACCTCAGAGGTGCGCAGTGTGCGGCCAGGAAAGAAATTACCACTTCTTCTCTGATCCAGGGCCGACTGACTCCGTCGCCTCCCCCCACCATACCCCCCTACACCTCCTTTCCAATCTTATTTTTTAAAATTTCCAGCCCCCTTTCTGTTTAGACTACTTTCTATTCCTTGAGTTGATTTCTCTCCCCTCCCCACTCAGAGGGCTGCTTTTTTTTTTGATGTTTGACAACAGTCTTTGAAGATTTTCTACTTCAGAGTAGCTACTGATGGGCTGGTTGTACTACAGAGAGAACAAGCAGGGCCTCTCGGAGTGCGACCAACTGCTCCTGCCCAAGGCAAATGCTGGTGGGGACCATGGCTCTCCATGAGGCCGCGGAGCCAGCGCATAAAATCCGGAGCGGCGCGGGCCGCCCTGCTATCAGCTCTCCACCCAGCCCTGGACACGCTGGGCCCTCACAACTCGGAACGCCGGAGCCAGCCCGGCCTGCTGAACGCGCCTCTTCCCTTTCCCCCTGCGCCCTCAGAGAACCCACCGCCTGCCGAAGGAGATGGCGCCTGTGGAACCCGCCGCCTTCGCGGCCGAGCTCATCTCCAGGCTGGAGAAGCTGAAGCTGGAGATGGAGAGCCGCCACAGCTTGGAGGAGCGGCTGCAGCAGATGCGCGAGGTACGCCCGGTCCGGCTGCCTGCATCCGAACGCGCATGCGTGCACGCCCCTGTGTGCCCACGTGTGAGTGCGTGCGTGCGTGCGTGCCTGCGAGCGAGCACGTGCGCTGGGTGGGTGCGCAAAGCGGGGTCTCCCGTGCTCAGTGCTTCCTGGATTGTTCACTTTTTTCCTCCGGCCTTTCCAGGATGAAGAGAAGGAGGGATCCGAGCAGCCTCTGACCTCTCGGGATGGGGCACCTGCCCAGCCCCCTCTGTCCCTCTTGCCCTCCAGCAGCTATGAGGAAGACCCGCAGACGATTCTGGATGACCACCTTTCCAGGGTTCTTAAGACTCCCGGCTGCCAGTCGCCCGGTGTGGGCCGCTACAGCCCGCGCTCTCGCTCCCCCGACCACTACCACCAGCAGTACCACTCCCTGCCCGCCGGGGGCAAGCTGCCCCCCGCAGCCGCCACCTGCCCCCTCCTCCGGGTCAAGGGCTTCCTGACCAAGCAGACCACGAAGCATGTCCACCACCACTACATCCACCACCATGCCCTCCCGAAGACCAAGGAGGAGATTGAGGCAGAAGCCACGCAGCGGGTGCGCTGCTTCTGCCCGGGGAGCACCGAGTATTACTGCTACTCGAAATGCAAGAGCCACCCTAAAGCTTCGGAGCCTCTGCCCGGGGAGCCGCTGGGGTGAGTGTCCTGCGGACCATTCTGTGCTGGCAGGGACTTTCCTATACTGAGCCCTGGGCAGGTCGGAGGTGGGGTCCACGGCCATGGGCACTTAGCCTCTAGGAGGGGGGCAAAGGCCGACATCTTTCCTGTCCCTGACCCCTTGCCAGCCTGTCTAACTCCACAGGTCCTAGAAATTTAATGGGGTGTCTGGGTTGCGTGTGGTTTTGGTTCCCCACAGTGGCAGCAGAGGCAGTGCCCTGCCCAAACGAAACGGGAAAGGCCCGGATCCCAGCCTGGCCCTCTCCACCAGGGAAGGAGGGGCCCCCAGCGGAGCTGGGACCCTGCAGCTTCCGGGGGAGGAAGGAGACAGGTCCCACGATGTCTGGCAGTGGATGCTGGAGAGTGAGCGGCAGAGCAAGCCCAAGCCCCATAGGTAAACACTGCCCGCTGGGGCACTCGCTAGGGAGGTGCTGCGGGGTGGCTATTTCTGCAGTTGGCTGAAAACAAACGGGACTGTTTGCTCCTGCCGTCTTAATATTAGACGTTGGATTGAGCAGACCACAAAAATGTCATGTTTTGGCAATGACCCGTAGTCATGTTATGGCAGAGTTATTTTCTTCCCTCTTCCTCTGAAAGCAGAATAGATGAATTTGTATTGAAGTCACATTTTCCAGTTTTTCTAACCCAATTTCTTCTTTTTCTCCTCATTGCTTGTTTAGTGCCCAAAGCACCAAAAAGGTCTACCCCTTGGAGCTACCCCGTGCGTCCCCAGGCGAACAAGTCGGCCGGCATCACCTGTGGGGCAGCAGCGGGCACTCCCGCACAGCCCCCCGCACTCACCCCTTTGCCCAAGATCCTGCGATGCCTCCCCTGACCCCACCCAACACTCTGGCGCAGCTGGAGGAGGCCTGCCGGAGGCTAGCGGAGGTGTCCAAGCCCTCCAAGCAGCGGTGAGTGGAGGGGGCATCGGAGGCTATGGTGGGCAGGGTTGGGTTTGGAGGGGGCTCTTGGCTGTTGCTCACGGGCAGAGACCTTACTGTCTGCCTCCTGCTCATTCAGACTCTCCTCCAACAGGAAGCGTTGCTCTGGTTAAGTCTCTTCTAGCCTCTAGAAGTTGTTCCCTTCAGTTCTGTTTGTTCTGCCAGAGGTAAACTAGGATCTGTTTGCTAGGCAAGTCACGCCTAGAAGTAGAAGCCGTTCTCTTGTTGCTCATGAATGTCTTCATCATTTAAGGCTGGTTGGAGGAGCCTGAGTGGCCGTGGTTGGTAGAGCATCCGGACCTCAGCCGTTCTCTGGGGCTGGGAGTGTCCTGATCCCCATTCGTTGGGGTTCACTGGCGGCCCCAAGATGCCTCTAGGCCTCCTCCAGTCCCTGTTAGCACAGAGCCTTGGTTGGGTCTTCGTAGGATGAAAGTTGGGTTTGCGTCTCATCTGGAGGCCAGAGAAAGTAGTTTGCTGTCTGCTCCCAGTTGCCCTGGGGACAGGAGTGCGCCTCTGAACCCCTCGTCCTGGCTGTGTCCTCAGGTGCTGCGTGAGCAGTCAGCAGAGGGACAAGAACCACAGTGCCACTGGTCAGGCGGGAGCCACGCTCTTCTCCACCCCAGGCCTGGCTCCAGAAGAGTGAGTGTCCCTACCTGGCGTGACCAAGCCCCGCCGAGTGGCTTCCATGTCCGGGTTGCCATCCCGGGGAGTTGCGTTTTTGTGAAACTGTGTTTTTCTTTTTTAATGGTACTGGAGGTTGAACTTGGCTTTCTCACAGAGGTCCATTCCCAGCCCTTCTTTTGTTTGTTGTTTTTCTTTTTTGGGGGGAGAGACAGGGTCTAACCAAGGTGCTTGAACGAAACTCAAACTTGGTGGTCTTTCTGCATCGGCTGCCCAGAGTGCTGAGATTACAGGCTCATACCACACCCAGCCTGGAGAACTTCTTAGTGTTGAAATCACCTGGGTGTTAGCACCGGTGAGGGGCAGATGTGCCATCCAGGGGGTCGTGGAAAATACATGTGTCCTACAAGTGCACGACCGAGTTTTCTGCGGCTCACACAGAGCCATTGATGGGTGGGTGACGAGCCTCAGCCCGTGTGGAGAAGTCATCTCTGTTCTGCTTGCAAGCTGACGCTCCCAGAAACATCTCTGTGCTACCCTGGAGTAGGAAGGTGAATCTCCACCTGGGGTAGCTGCTGCGAAGACTGTCTTGGTGTTTTGCTTAGGGAAAGCAGTGTGTTCTCCGAAATTAGGCCATGATTTATCTTCTGCAGTTACACCTACAGAGTAAGAAGCCTGGCTGGGTGTGGTGGTGCATGCCTATAATCCCAGCACTGGGGAGGCTGAGGTAGGAGGATCATTGCAAGCTTGAGGCCAGCCTGGGCTATACAGCAAGACCCTGTCTCAAAACAAAAACTAAGAAGCCTGGCTCAGTTTAATTATAGGATAGCACTTTTTTTTTTTTTTTTGCAGAACCAGGAATTGAACTCAGGCCCTTGTGCTTGCCAGGGAAACACTTATTCTACTGAGCCATCTCCCTGACCCAGGATGGTACATTTTAAAGAGAACTGCTACCATGAGATCTATATGATCTAAAATTTTCCTTTTAGTCTCTTGATCCTGAGCAGTGAATAGTAGTGTTTGAAGTTGGGTTGAAATGGCCATTTGTTACAGTGCATTCCTGTCATCCCAGCAGTTGGGAGACTGAGGCAGGAGGATCTTCGTGAGTTTTGAGGCTTCTATATCCTGGAGGGCTATATAGTGAGTTCAAGGCCAGCCTGAACTGCATAGCAAGGCCTTGTCTTTAAAAACAAAAAAAGAGCAACAACTAAAGTGAAATCTTGACTAAACCACCTTCTATTTGCTGTCCAGGCCAACAGCATTTTTTTTTTTTTTTTTTTTTTTTTTTGTCTTCGTCTTTTTGAGACAAGGTCTCGCTGTGTAGTTCAGGCTAACTGTGAGCTTACTTTGTAGCCCAGACTGGTATTGAGCTCATAATGATCCTCCTGCCTCAGCCTCCCGAGTGCAGGGACCACAGGCATGCACCACCACGCCCAGCTTGAGAGCTACTCTTCACAAACTCAGAATAAATGACTGTGGTCTGACTCCCTTAAGTTGCCTGTGTTCTGCTGGAGCAAGGGGGCGGCAGGCATTTTGGGTTCTGCCCTCTGGAGGAGCCTGCTGAGGGCTCACCTCTGCAGTGTTCCCTGTCGGAGATGAGTCCTGTGGCTCCCTGGCACCTTGTTCTCTTCTTCCTTGCTGAGCACCTCAAGTGGTACCTGGGTTTTTGTTGTTTTCAGTACTGGAGGTCAAGGCCAGGGCCTCACGTGTGACAGGCCGGTGCTCTACCTCCGATGTGCAGCTCCAGCCCAGAGTGCCCCATTTGTGCCAACCGGAAGGAGACTGCCACAAGCTTCCATTTTTGTGGCATTGTCAGAAATGTTAAAAGTTGGCACAACCAAAAGAAATCCCTTCTGAGATACTCTATAGGGTTGGATTATGTGTGATCTTACCCCATACCTCAATGTTATGAAACCGTGTTTGTGTGTGTATATGTGTGTGTGTGTCTGTCTGTCTGTCTCAAGATATTGAACGTGTTGCATTCCATCTTATTTTCAGTCACAAAGAGCCAAAGAAGCTAGCAGGTGTCCACCACGCACTCCAGGCCAGCGAGTTGGTTGTCACTTACTTTTTCTGTGGAGAAGAAATTCCGTACCGGAGGATGCTGAAGGCCCAGAGCTTGACTTTGGGCCACTTTAAAGAGCAGCTCAGCAAAAAGGGAAATTACAGGTGAGAGTCCTGTGGATTTCTTCTGATCCAGAGCTCGCCCAACTTCCCGGGCCTGAGCAGCTCAAGGAGAGGCCGGGCAGGAGGTTTAGGGACTCGCAGGGAGGTCGTTCAGGAGGCCGCTTGGGCCTCGGGCTCCTAGTCTCTCATGGCCAGGCTGCTCTCAGGGGGACACGCTGAGGTGGAAGCAGCAGGGTGTGCGTTTGCAGTGGTGGGCGCTCTGCCCCATCTCGAAGGCCTTGGGCTGGGCCTGGGGAGCACACTGATGAGGGAAGAGAAGAACCCCAAAACTTACCTGTCCTGGTTTGGGACAAGAAGAAGCCTCCGCATTGGAGGCTCACAGAGGGGCAGACACCTTGATGAGAAGCGGATAGTGCTTTTCTTCCTCAGATCTTCTGCCAGAAGAACTTCTGCCCTGGGCTTGAAGTCCCGAGGTGTTCTGTCCAAAGCAGGCAGGGCGGCTGAAGCTGTGGGTGGGCAGACTGACCGCCGTCTCCTTCTAGGGCCTTGGGAAGGGGGCTTCACCTCCCTCTTTCTTGCCTTACCTGCACAGTGGAGGTTCCCTGAACTTGCTGGGCCCTGGATAGACTTTGACAGCCCTGGCCTGGTTCTCAGTCACCTTCCTCTTAACGAGGGCAGGTGGCAACTGCCTCAGCTCTTGCAGAGTGCTCCTGTCCTTTCTCCATGGCCCTCACCTTGTACGTGTGGGTTCTGCCCATTTATGTCCTCTGTGCCAGGCACTAGGTCAGGACAAATGAGACAAGAAGGTCCCTGAGGTTGTCGACCTGGGATCTGCACCTCTGAGAGAATGCTGCCCTCAGTGTGTGCCCTGGCCTCTTAGCAGGGTGCCCACCCATCCCCAATGCCAATCCAGTCCCACCCTCCAGAGCTTAGAGAACCTGCATGGTGGAAGCCTACAGGGTGGGTATGGCTTCTGGCCCCGGGTGAGCCCCTTGCAGGCCGTGCAGTCGACCCCCACACAGGCCCTGCCTAGCGCTCCTCCCTGGCCCTCGCCTAGCGACTCTGGGCAGGGCCAGCAGCAGCCCCTGTGTAGCCCCTGTGTAGCATGGAGAGCTGGAGGCTGGGCAGGACCCTGCAGGTGACTGACCAGCAGGGTGTGGAGCTGGGCCCAGACCGTTTGCTTTTATACCTGGGAAGAGACAATTCTGTAAAGTTATCAAAGGGACTGGGGATCAGGCCTGGCTGCTGCTTCTTTTAATCTTGAAAAGACACAGGTGAAACTAATTACACAAGTGCGCCCCTCTGGGGTTCATTTTGATCTCAGCTTCAACTCTGCTGGACTTTAAGGGAACTGCAGGTGACCTTCGGGGGAGAAGAGCCGCGGTGCGCTGACAGGCGCTTGCGGGCCGGTGCCTCACTCGGCCTCTCCGGCCACATCTGGCTCTGATTTTTTTCCGAAGGCGCATTTAATAAACCTGGCTTTGAAGCGCTGGCCTCCCTTTAATGCACAAAGACTCACACAAATGGTCCGCTCTCGAATTCCTTCCTGATTGGATCAGGCTGTGGGAAGTTCCTCCCAGCTGGATCCTGTGCCCTCCTAGCAGGAGGGCTGTGGGGCACAGGGTGCTCAGCCTGTGCATCCCCCAGCAGGGCTTGGGCCCCACATCTCAGTGTACCCCCACTATGCCCCCAGTAAGAGTCCAGTGAGGTCAGGGCTGTAGAGCAGGGACCTGGGCTATGTGGAGTAATCTCAACATGGCAGGGGTTCAAAAAGCAAAACAGTCCCTCCAGACGTGCCAGACGCTCTTGGTGCCAGATGTCAGAAGAAAGCAGCGTTTGCCACATAAAGCATGTTGCAGTGGAAAAGCCCGATTCTTAGAGAAAATGTGGGCAGTGCAGCGTGTTTGAAGTCCTGGGGGTGGGGCTGTGGCAATGTTGCCCGTCTCCTTGGTAGGCAGGGTGCAGTTATGTAAAGGGATATTGCATGTTTGTGCAGAGGTGCTGTGGAAGTGTGTTGGTAAACCCCAGGGGGTTGGAAGCGTGACTTTTCCCACTGTCCTGGCCCCTGTATACCCACCCCCCAGCACACACAGCACCCCCGCCCTCTAGCTGTCTGTCCTCACAGGCTCCTCAAAGAGTTCTGACCTCCTGAATGCTGAAGTGTTTCCCCACCGACCAGCTCTGCTGGCCAGAACCCTGAAAACAAGGCCCTGAGTGGACCCAGCTGTTTCGCTGTCCTCGGCCTTATCTTCTGAGAAAGCTTTTGGCTCACCTTCATTAAAGTGGAAAAAATTTAGGGGAGTTCATTTTTGTAAAAGAAAAGACAAAAACCAGCTCTAACTCTGAGACACATTAAATGGTTTAGAGGCTACCCCTGCTCCCAGGGGACAGCGACCTTCCCTTTGTGAGTGGCCTTTATGGGCTGCAAGTGACAGCTTGCAGGGGTAAACTTAATCCAACCGAGGGGTCTTTGCTGGGAGCATGGTGGGAGAGTTGCTTGCTTGGGCTCCCCTGGGGCCCAGGGTGGGCCTGGCTGGACATGGCAGTAGTTTCCGAGTGTGACTCCTGAGAGGCTGTTGCGTCCAAACAACTGTGGCTCAGCTTTAGAAGGAAGAATGCCAGCAGGGAGCAGAGGAGTCTTGAATTGGGGGTCTGAGAGGCACAGGCCTTGGGTGTTGGACCCTGCAGGGCTGGGAGTGGAGCGGAGGCTGTGGGGGTGTGGGGGGCGAGCAAGCCTGTGACTGGGCTGTGGCCCCTCCAGACCCCTGGAGGGTGTGGAGGGCCGGTTGCCGCGGCCTAAGGAGGTCAGATCTGCTGCCCACAGACGTCTGCAGAGTCCAGCTCCACAGGCCAGGCCGGGCGGGTGGTGCCGAGAGCCCACGTGGACGGCTTCCCGGTGGGTGCCGCTTTCCTCCCCGTGTCCAGTAGGCAGCTCCAGTAGCCCCTGAAGTCACACATGGATGGTGGTCTGCGGGTATTCCTGCCATCGCAGATGTGTACCTTAGTTCTCCACATTGACATGGTTTCTTTAAAATGGCCTAGGAAGATGTAGTTCCAACCGACTTTTCCGGTTTTCCTTTTAAGGTATTACTTCAAAAAAGCAAGTGACGAATTTGCCTGTGGAGCAGTCTTCGAGGAGGTCTGGGACGATGAGACCGTGCTCCCGATGTACGAGGGCAGGATCTTGGGCAAGGTGGAGAGGATCGACTGAGGCAGTGGTGCCTGGCGCAGCACAGCCAGCACACGCTTGCACGGCCCTGTGCGCGCCGCCGAGTGCTTTGGGAGGAAGTAAACCAGCGGAGGAGGCGAAGACGAGGGAAGCACTGGCCGGCCGCCGGGCCTGCGCGAGGGTGGGAAAGGTTGATTTTCATTTTTCGTGGACTGAGGACTGAGATCAGAAAAGCCTGAACTATTTATTAAAAATACGACCACTCTTGGCTACGGAAGATGCTGACTGTTTGAGAGACTGCCATACATAATATATGACTTCCTAGAGATCTGAAATCCATAAACTAAGGGAAACTGTGTATAGTTTACCTGAACATGAGTCCTTACTGATATTTATTGAACTGTTGGTTCCCCCCATCCTCAGTTTATGGATATGCTGCTTTAAACACAGAAAGGGGAGAGAGGAAGTTTTAGTTCTTCTGCCTGGACTTAGGAGCTGAGGTGGGAGTACATCAATGAGTTGTTCATGTCTTGTACTGCACTTCTTCAGGTGAAGGCAGATTTGACACGGTGCCCTGCCTTTGACGCATGCAGACATTGGTGCATTGTCCCCCTGTGCTGCTCTGTTTGTCCTAAAAGTCGAGAGGGCTGGCTGTGTTGTGACATCGCCACATTGGGGTTGTCGTGTGGATGGCAGGATCCATCATGGGGGAGGACCTCATTCTGGGGACCAAGGGGCCCCCTCTGTCCCTCCAGTCCCAGGCCTGGAGACTGAGGCCTGCTGGAAGCACTGTCCTGTGGTTCAAACTTGTGCTTTTAGTGAAGTGACAGTTCCTTGTTTCTGTTGTAATTTTTTTTTTTAGTCTTTGGACCACAGCTATTCACAGAAGTGCCCCCGTCCCGCCCCACCCCGCCCCGCCCCACAGAGACCTGGCCAGGCGCAGGGAGCTTCAGCAGTGCCTCGTGCGCTGCCGCTTGGGTGTGCGTGCTGCGTCTACCTGTACGTTGCGTCCGCCGTCCACACCTGTGCTGTGTGTCTCTGTAGAGTGTGCAGCGAGAGAGAGTGCTCCACTGTCTCTAGTGCTTGACTTGGAATCAGTACAGTACCTGTACCCGCATGGGGACCGGCTCCGTGTGTCGCCCTATATTGAGGGCTCAAGCTTTCCCTTGTTTTTTGAAAGGGGTTTATGTATAAATATATTTTATGCCTTTTTATTACAAGTCTTGTACTCAGTGACTTTTGTCATGGCATTTTGTTCTACTTATACTGTAAATTATGCATTATAAAGAGTTCATTTAAGGAAAATTACTTGGTACAATAATTATTGTAATTAAGAGATGTAGCCTTTATTAAAATTTTATATTTTTCAACACTTTGTCCTTATCTTTCTGGGAGCAGGACCAAGAGGTCTTGCTGTGGTTTCTCGCTTGGGCCTCTCCAGCGCTCTGCCCTTGGGGCCTCCCCTGAGGCTTGGTACACCGTTCCTCCTAACTGCCTGGTACCTGGACGAGCAGTTGGCGCGGGACAGCTGTAGGCGCTTCCGTTCCAGCCTCTTCTGTCCAGTGTGTGTCTCCCATCTGGCCAGCTAAGCGCAGCTGTGAAGGAGCTGAATTGAGGGCCTCTCAGGAGCACTAGCATTTTATTTGATGTCTCAGGTGGGACGCTTTTCTTAAAATTGGCTCGTGCCCTGGGAGTGGCCAGGCAAGGCCAGTGGCTGTGAGGTCAGCGTTGGTCCGAGTCTGCCAGCCACCTTCTCTGGCGCGGCTGCTGCCTCATCTCATCTGGTCGCTTGCGTTTCCAGCCTTCAGCAAGCTCTGGGCTGGTTGGCTGTCCGGGACAAGCAGGTGGTTGAGAGGGCCCTTGAGCGGCAGGTGTGCCCCAGGCAGCTGCGGAAGGTGGCCCTCAGCTGTTGACCCAAGCACGTGTGCCCTGCCCGTGTGCGGAGCATGCCGAGAGCCGTCCTGCTTCCAGAGAGGAGAACAAGGTAGCGGCAGCTAGTCCTCTGCTGAGTTTTCATGAAGCTGGAGTCTGCTGTAATCTGATGGAATTGTGTCCCTGCTGCCAGCGGACACCAGGCTGGGAGGGTAGAGCAGGACCGTGGCATCCGCCCGCTGCATGAGTGGAGGCCTGGGAGGTCCTAGCACAGTAGCCGCCTTCCGACTTGGCTGGGGTGTGGGGCAAGTGGATCTAAGGGGGTAAATCCAATTCCCAAGGTTAAAAAATGAAACCTCCTTCCTGGTGAGGACAGGAGTTTGGTATTTTCCTGTCATCCAGTGAAGGCGGAAGGCCCAGGGCTCAGACAAACCTGAGTTCAAATCCCAGCACCACTGCTCTCTGGATGGCTGTGTTCTTAGCTACATTTGTGAGATATAGCTGGGCTACTTTATCACACACATTTCTACCTTAAAAAAAAAAGATTTTGTACTAAGAACACAAAATGATATCCTTTTAAAATTTCCTTTTAAAAGTGCACAACAGTATTGTTAACTACAACAACAGTATTTTGCAACTATCTAGAGCTTAACTGCCTAAATGAAACTTTATGCTGATTGATAAACCACTAATGCCCCCCACACACACATACACCAACTGGTGTGGGCCTATCGACATTATTATTATTTTTTTTTCTTTTCTCGGAACCGGGGATTGAACTCAGGCTACTGCGCTTGCCAGGCAAGTGCTTATTCCACTGAGCCAGCTCCCCGGCCTCTCGACAATTATTTTCAATACCTCACAGAAGCGAAATGCCTCCTGTGAGTGCCTTATTTCATTTAGCATAATGTCCTCGGGTTTATCCATGTCACTGTTAGGGTTGGAATCCCTAACGTCCCCCAAAAGGCTCTTTGTGTTGAAAGCTTGGTTGCTGGTAGGCTCTTGTAGAGTGATGGACTCATGCATTAGTTAATCCACTGATGAGATTATAATTTGGTGGAATTATCAGTAGGGGATAGAAACGAGATAGGGAAGGGAGTAGAACATAGGGGCATGACTTGGAAGGCTCCATGTGGCGCGTGGCTGCCTCTTCTTTTCTCTGTACTTCCTGACTGCCTGTGAGGGTACGGGTGGGTCATCTCTGGAGACGTGACTGGGGATGTGAGCAGCCCCTGCTCTTCAGCGTTGCCGCCTCCTGGCTGCCAGAGCCACCTTGCACGTGGTGCTTCGTCGTGGGGCCAGCCCTCCAGGACCTGAACTCCTGAGACGGAGCCGAATTCAACCTCTCGGTAAGGTGTAGCCGTTGAGTATTCTGTCTCAGTGACGGGCAGGCTGATGAACAGAGCAACACAAAGCTGATGAATGGTCACCTTGGAGGATTTTTTTTTTTTACAAGAAGCTGCACCACACCATGTCCCCCTGTGTGCAGTGCCGCGTGTTCTACAGCCCCCCATCCAGCGGTGACTATTTGATTATTTCCCTATCTCGGCTGTTGCGAATTGCGCTGCAGCGAGTGCAGATATCTCGGAGATCCTGGTTCCATTTCTTTCTGATAAGTACCCAGAACTAGGGTTGTTTGATCATAAAATAATTCTGTTTTTAGTTTTCTGAAGGATTTCCATACTGCTTTCTAAAGCAGTTGGGCCATTTTGCATTCCTGCCAGTGTGTACGAGGTGTGCTTTCCCTACACCCTCACCACCACTTTTTTTGTTTTTATAGCTGCCACCTCAACAGGCACGAGGTGGAGTCTCGTTGTGGTTTCGAGCAGCACTTTCTTGCTGCTTAGTGATGTCAAGCGTCTTCATGTATCTGTTGGTCATTCATCTTTGGAGTAATGTCTGTTGAAGTCTTTAGCCCATTTTTACATTGAGTTACTAGGTAGTTTGCTAGGGAGTTAGAAAAGCTATGGATGTATTTTGGAATGATATACTTTTACCTCTTCTGATGAGGGCCTGCTTGCTGCTGCTCACATTTTAAGCCAAGGGGCTTTTAACCCTACTTAGATGTGCTCCCAGCGGTGGCGGCACCTTGAGCTTGTTTGCGGAACCACCTGTGCATCCCTTCCTCTGAGGTGAGGGTCAGCAGGTTCTTAAAGAGATTCGTGTCTCACAGGAAAACACTACAGCTCATGGCTTGGCCACTGAGCCCTACCTCCTCTAGTGCCCTGCTGGCGCCTTCTGAGGCTCATGGTCCACGCTCCACCAGACACCCAGAGTCCGCTCCCCGCGAGGGGGCCCACGTGCCGCCAGGGTTGCCTTTCTCCTGCCCTCTCCCTCCTGTGCTCTTCATTTCCTCGGCTCTTCCACGTGCGCCAGCTTCTATTTTATTTCTAAGCAAACCCTCGGCAGTCAAGAGGAGACTGGGTTGGGTACTCGGGGGCTGGAGTCCACTCCGAGCTGGGTTGCACTGAAAGTCAGTTTCCTCTTCCCTGGCAAGCGCAAGGGCCTGAGTTCAATCCCCGGTGCCACAAAAAAAAAAAAAAAAAAAAAGAAAGAAAGAAAGAAAGAAAGAAAGTCAGTTTCCTTATCAGATTTGTGAGGAAGCAGAGGTGCTGAGGGGCTGACATGGTGGGAATTTCACTGGCCTTACTGCTGTTATCTGCTCCTTGGGTGGAAACAACCACCTCCAGGCCCTGCTGGTGGCTCCACCTGGAAGCACTCACTCTCGGGGGCTGTGTGGAGGGGCTGGAAAGGAGGCTTTAGAGAAGGAAGCCCCTTATTCCCATGGCAGAAAACAGTAGGACCATAATCACACTGGCAAAAAGAAGGAAATAGTAACTTACCCCCAAGAAAATAATACAGTCTACTTGAATAATCAGGTCAAGTTGTTTTTCTTGGGCTGGGGAGACAGTTCAGTAGAATAAGCACCTGCCTGGCAAGCACAGGGTCCTGGGTTCAATCCTTGGTATCAAAAAAAAAAAAAAAAAAAATCACAGGGCAGGGTAACAGAAAAAAAAAAAAAAAAAAAAAAAGTTGTTTTTCTTTATTTTTGTAAAGAAATATATTCCTTCCTTTTTTACCTGTACACACTGTATATGGGCTGAGGAGATAGCTCAACAGTATAAGTGCCTGCCTGGCAAGTGCAAGGTCCTCAGTTCAATCCCCAGTACCTGTACATGCTATATAATTTGGTGGTGCAGAAACTTCCCAAATTATCTGATGGTTCATCCAAGTGACTTGCATCCTCTTTATACCAATTACTATTTCCCTCTATTGGCCAGATTGCCTGCAGCAAGCCTCTACTGTGCCTCATGATGTGTCCCTGAGAGACGGGAGCAGTGGCCTGGCTTAAAAACCAAAACAGAAAGAAAACCCAGGACATAGGCTATTGTCAGAATTATCCAGGGATATTCTCTTAGCACTAGGAGAATTTTCATAAAAGCTTACATCTGGGACCTCAGGAAGGTTGTGTGTGTGTGTGTGTGTGTGTGTGTGTGTGTGTGTGTGCTGTATTGGGACATATTGAAAGGGATCTGCCACAGATAGAGACACTGTTCCCACAACAGAGGGTCCTTCACCTTGTCCTGTGCCCAGTTCTGAAAACAGAGACTCCTGTGGTCCACAATGACCTTCTCAGTCCTCCCCAGGGCTCCGCTGCTCAGGGGATGGGCCCAGCCGTTCCTGCGGTTCTGTCCTTCCAGCCTCCAGGTATTGACTTCAGCGTCAGAGAGGGTCTCGCTGTGTAGTGCAGGCTGGCCTTCAACTCATTGTGTGGCTCAGGCTGACCTTGACTCACTGCCATCCTGCCGTGCCTCCCAAGAGCTGGGGTTCCAGGCACATCCACCCCACCCCGTGACGTCAGAGGTTTATGGCCGTGGGAGCCAGACATGTCACTGCATGCTCCTCTCTACAGCAGAACTTCCTTGATTTCTATCCCATGTGCCTTAATGTGTAACTGTATCGTAATTAATTAATTGCTTTCTAATTCCTTCCTGAGGCAAAGGTAAGTATAGTATACACACCCCTGTAAAAGTGATATCTGACCTGACATCTTTGACCTGGTAGAGACCCTAAATTAATATTTGTGGAACAGAAACAAAAGAACAGAAAAACTGTCCACGGTAGAGTCTTAGTTACTTTGCTCACTGAAGACACAAAATACACAACCCCCACAGCTAAAGGAGGGCAGATTTAGTTGGCTCATAGTTTGTAGAGATTTCAGTCCATAGTCATGGCTCCACGGCAGATGGGACAGCTGACAGGCATGACAGAGGAGAGAGAGTTCATGGTGGGCACAAGGTAGCAACCGGCAAGGGAGGACTGCAGACCTTTCTGTCCATTATATCTTATCTTAGGGCGGATGGTGCTCACGCCCTTGGTCCTCCTGCCCTTGATCCTAGCATGGTGTCCTGAATCTGTTCCAGTAGGACATGATCTGTCTAGGTCCAGCCGCCTCTGAACAAGCCCCACCTATGACCCTGAGAGGCTTTC